GAATTTCATTCACAGCAAAAAGACACGAATAAAAAAGGTGAGCTTAAATTTCATCAACATTTTGAGATATTTTGAGTTTGAGAAAATTGGTAAGTAACATTTTATTCTTGCCAGAAGCTTTTCAAAGAGGTATTTTGATTTATTTTAACCATTGACAGAGTTGGCATGCAGTAAACTCATCCGTGTATTCTACATTTTACATACCTATTTTCGCTAATTTTTCGATGTACCGATTGAAAACTATGTGATCATATTTACAACACCATTAAGTCTGTACTAACCGCAACGGCGATTTTTCGACTCCGAAGCCGAGACTATCAAATCCGATACTGATCGATATCCGACCTTCTCGGATCGGATTGGATCGACTGTCGATCGGGGCTCGATCGGAATTTTAGGCAAACGCCCATCAATCATGAAAAAAATCCAACTTGGTGCAGAGTATCATTATTTGCTGCTGCTCAACATATGACTGAGAGCTGAGTAATGCTGAACTCAGCTCTCAGTCATATGCTGAGCAGCAGCAAATAATGATACTCTGACTTGGTAGTGCCAACTTGAAATAAAAAAATAAATAATGTAACAAATTCATGTTTCCCCTTTAGTCATTTAGCAATATATTTTATAATTTAAAATTCCATAAAATAAATAAATAAAATTAACCACACTAACTGAACTAAGCGATTTATGATAGATGACTGACATTCAATTTTTTTTCTAAAATATAAAATTTATTTATAAAAAAATCACCGCTTAAAAATACGTAATTTGATGCCTCCACGTGGCGAAAGTAAAAAAGATCTCGGTTCAAATTCCATTTGACGTGTTCTTTCCTGTTCATTCGCCAATTCATATCTGAATTGTTGCATCATCATAATTAATCCAACTTTAACTTGCAATTTTCCCAATCGAACTCCGATGCAATTTCTCGGGCCATCGCCAAACGAATAGTATGGCCGATTTGTTTGGGTTTGCGTTGCTGAATTCTCTTCGTTAAATCGGTCCGGATCGAATTTATTTGGATTTTTATAATATTTTTCGTCTCGCTGCAATGCAAATACGGGAATAAAAACTTCTGCACCCTTTTCAAGTATTTTATCGGTACCGGGGATCCGATAATTTTCTGCACAGTTTCGACGCAAAAATGGTCCAATCGGATATAACCGGAGCGATTCTGTAATAAATAAAAGGCGTTA